ATTTTTCTTTTAACCCTTTATGTCAATAAATTATCCACGTCATTTAATAGCTGAAAGATTTTCCAAATTTTGTTTAATTACGGAATTCTTTGATCAAAGAATACCTGGGTAATGAGAGATAAGCTGAATTGGTTGGTTCAACGTGTGTAGAATGCATATCCATCCAAAGTTTAGGTTAGAATATTTTCAAAGAATGCAACGTGCACAAAGAGACAACCTTGCAATCTGCGATGTAATGCATAGCGCAGGACTAGTTGGCGGTATGCGAGAGCTGCATCAAAGGACCACGCTAATATTCGCATGACATAAATGGAAGATGAATGGCGCGCAAGTTAGGCCTACGCAACAAACATAAGCGTTGATACAGTTCCCCCTGTCGGCTATATCGTGCACCAGGCGCCACCGCAACACGGTCCAGTCTTGCGTTACGCCCGTACACGTGTACTTGCACACATGCTCATCGATAAATTCTCTCGCTTAAATCCTTGCCATGGGTTTCCTTACGTGACGCTCGAACCTACTATCGAAACGATGGTGACTCGTCATTCAATGGGAGGGCAGCGATACGTTTTCAGGATTCAACGAACGGACAGACACGATTGTTATTGCTTGTAACGAACGAAGGATCGCGCGATTTCATTGGATGCTTACGAAGCGCTGGCATTTGCAGGCAGTTTGGCGGGATATATCGGCGGTCAAGTGGAAATAAAACGTCTACGTCGCTGGATAATGTCGGTCGTTAATATCGGGTCGCGACGTAGACGCCCTCTAGATCGAATGGATGATTTTCGCGATTTCTGTGAAACTGCGATTCGATTTTACACGAGAAAATAATAGAGCAATGGAAGGAAAATGTATACACTGTTTTATTCTATCGTTTTCTTTTATCATAAAATTTAATAAAACCATCGTCACGCATCATTTACGAAAAATAACGTGGCAAAGAAGAATGTTATTTTTCTCGAATTTATGAGGAAATTATTATAACATGATCGTTATAATGAAAAGAATACACTGCTTTATTCGCTGCTTTCACTTATCGGTAAAATTCAATAAATCCATTGTCACGCATCATTTGCAATTTATGCGATCAATTACACTCAATTTCTCGATTAATCGTTCATAATCACGAATTGGCCGATAAACGCAGAGTTTCGCAGTTATAAAGCAACAGGCATCGCAATCGGCGCAAGAACGAAATTACTGGCTACACACAAATTACGAACTGGATACGCATCTCCCGTTTCCCGTGGCAAGCCCGCCCTTCCTTCCGTCGAGGCGCAGCTTGATCATAAAGCTCGTTCCGTCTCCTACATACCGACCTCCACGTAAATATCATTCTCGTTTTACGTAGATGCGGCTTCTCATCGGCAGAATAAACATGCCGGAGGTAAGGTTACCCCTAACGAGGAAATGTTGCCCCTTGATCCAAAAGGGGGATAGACGATATTTCTCCGGCTTTATTATTGCTGTCGAGTAATTAAACCGTTTTCCATGCCACCGGCTTGAAATCAAACGGGGTCCTGGTGACTTCTGGCGGCCTTTATCGGAACTAACTTTTTCACGTGATTCAGGTTATGTAAATATACATATACTGGACTGGTGGTCGAGATTGAAGTGATTTGATGGACTTTTTTATTCATAGTGAACAAGATTTATACTGTATTACTTGTTTTTTCGATATCGTAAAAGCTGATATCTTGCAACATTTATAATATTTTTTTTTTTTTAATATTACATCATGTTTTTAATTATCTTTATTTAATATTTTTAAATTTATAAAATATTTTATTATTATTTTCAATAAAAATTTATTTAATAATATTGAAAAAATATCTTCGCATCTATAAACAATTATTATAAATGTTAATATTTATATAAGTATGAAAAAATATTTTAAAACGAAGTACGAAATTTTTGAGTATAAGTGAAAGCAAATGGATCCAAGATTGAATTTTAATATCGATGCGAATACAAGGTTGGTTAATTAGATACAATCTTTGTAGAATATATACTTCTTTTTGTTATAGTGAATAATAATATTAGCATATCATTATATAAATGTTCCGATGCACAAAAGTCTTTATAGAATTGTTGGATTTATGTTAATTTGTATTACGTGTTTAATGTAACAATCGAACGAAATGATTCTTGATTTTATTTCAAAATAATTGCCTTTACATTTATCACGATTAATGAAGCCATTTTACCGAGCTGTTATTACGTCAAACAAACTTGTTTTAAAAAATTACTTTTCATAATTAAGTCGTAACGATATCTTCAAACAAATTTAATTAAATTTAATAACCTAATATTTATTTAAATATTTATTTAAATATTTCATACTTTTTTTCTAATTTTAACAAATATTTCTCTAAAAAAAACTTAATCAATACGATGAAATTTCCTTGGAAGGAGAGTTCTAACAGAGCAGCAACATCCAATTCTCACATAACGCTATCATCCTCGTTCCACGCTCTCAAAGCCCAATAGAGGGGAGTTAAGCTCCATACCTGAGCTCTAATAACATTGACCCATCATAAAACAGAACTCGACCTAATCCCACCGCCCATTCCAGTACGCCTGGATGAATCTATTATACAACGATGACCCGTTCTCCATTGCTTTCTCGATTCCCCCATTAAGATTAAAAAGGATCCTCACCTTGATAATTACTCGCCGCGGTCAGAATGATCGGGAACGTGGCAACAACAGCATGGACGTCCACGAGAATCTGTTATAGAGGTCCTTCCAGTAAGAGACAGAGAGAACGAGAGAGAGAGAGAAAGGGAAAAAGTGAAAACAAGCGAGAAGCCGATACACCGAGGTTTTCTCATTATTTTAAGTGACTCGAGAGAGAGAGAAAGAGAGAGAGAGAGAGCGAGAAAAAGAGAGAGGCAGAGGGCGCTGTGTGTATATGCGCGCCATATATCACCACTTGCCACTCAGCCGGGCCGGTATCGTGTAATCGAGTTGTCAGGCAACCTACCCCTTACGGAGAATGGCTCCGCTATCGTTGTCGCCGCCGCAGACGCCGCCGACGCCATAGTAGTCGCCTAATGCACGCGTTATTACGTTACACGCATTTAAAACTTGCCTCCTATTAGCAGTTTGCTGTCATCTGCGGCCGCCGCGCCTCAGCAGAATTTGAGGCGAGACGAAGGCCTTTCCTTCCTCGTCATGCCTCTCCTCCCCTCCCTCCCCATCCCCCATCGGCCACCATCGTCGCGATCGTCCGCAACCCTCGAGGCTAACTTTGTTTCTCCCGTCGAACGGATTTAATACTTTGCCAGCCATTACGCTGGCCGATCTAATGGATCGTGCGCTTAAAATATTTAGTTCGAGGTAGATGGCGCTCTCTCGCCCCTCGCTGTCTCGGCGGCGTTGTTGTTTTTCCTTCTTTCGCTATGGCGGTGATTGAATTGAAGAGCGGAGAGCGGAACTTTTAGGAACGTTCGAGGAGATTGCGTCGATTAACGTATGATTAATCGAATTCAACGTTATAAGGAGATATATCGATCTAATGATTTTAATGGATCGATGCAGAATGAAAGAAGTGACGAAATAAAAATAAAAATATCTTGGGGATTTTATAATGTATTTATAAAAGTGTTATTGTTGCAAAATTACAAATTCGTGTTCATTGGTGTGAAGCGATATATTCAAATGTATTCCGCTCGATCTGTAAAAGCACTACAGAGGTTAGCTGTTACCTGATAACGGTAATAGATGTGGCTTTGGATTTCCGGCGTTGGATACAAGGAATATGAATTAAAGATAAAATACTCTGCCAATATCCAGAGCGTGTTTCACCGTTTCGAATTCACGCCGGTTAGAGCGGGGCGATAACTCTTGTCCTTCGGAAATATTAGATACTGTTGTGCGTAGTTTCGCATCTATCGCTTGATAGCCGTGTCGCGTCGTATCGAACAACGATCGTGGCACAACTTTGGATATTAGCCGATCCCCTATCCCTTATCATTCGTGAGACAGTTTGTCACTTACAGCCGAATCTACATTTACGATCGCGTGCAGATTACTAGCCCAGTTACTGCTTTGACATTTGAATAGCTCTCAGATAGTTGCCGTGTTGCATTGCATATAGGACGTGTTAAAATTATTTCTGTCGCTATTAGGGAAAAAAATTAATATCATTGTCATTATACCTTTGCACTTGATTGTTTGTAAGTAATCTGGATCAGAAAAGAATGGAGGAGGGAAAATTAAATTTGTCTGAAACTAATTTTTATTTCTTGTTAGAAAGAGTATTTTTTAATTTCACGAATTATCGAGTCTAATTGATACGATCATTAAAGGAAGAAATATGTCAATTATTTTTCCATCTATCGAAGAAAGAGCTTAAAAGCGATTATGAGATTATTTCATGCAACATCAGCGCACTCGAGCGTTTACATCACGAACTATTCGATACCAGTCGTAAGAAAGAAAAAGGATACGATATGGCTTTCTGGAACGAGAACACTCAAGGGACCGGTGGAAATCCGAACGAAAAACCAATAAATCACGTTGTGTTTAACGAACCTTCATGTTTCTATGCACACCCTTGGGAATAATAGGGCGGAAGTGTTGTTTTTACAGTACAGAGAGCCAGCTGGCCTGTAATGTTTGAAAAGAAGATGATGGCGTTTACCAGCCTCGTTACACGAAGAATACTCGAGCGAATTACACAGGAACCTAGTCATTTCATCGCTCATATTTCAGGATTTTAGGCTAATAAAATTCGACACTTTATGACGAAGATATTCTAATGACATTAATCTTTTTTAAAATAATTTTAAAAATATTAATATTGATACGTGGTAAAGAAAAATGTTACCAAAGACTAAAGTAATATTCAGTAATAAGCTACAGTTGATTTTTTAATTGTAAATAAAACATTTAATTTTCTCCTTTTCAAACTTCTTTTAACCTATTATTCTTCCGAATTTTTTTTCAAGATTTTCTCGTCCAATTTCAATAATAATTTCACCACGAATTGGCCAATTTTATCATATTTCATCTTTTAAATAAAACTCTACAATCAAATCGAATCCAATTCATCGATGCAATGTCAGTTTCATAGTCAGGAATCGCACGCAGTTGCACTTTCACCTCACTTGGGAATAACAACATCGAAGTGGTACCATTCATATCCGTTTCGCGGCGCCACGGTCGGGCCTACGCTCGTGCGCGAGCCCACTTAATAATGCAGATAGAGAATAGCCGTGATCCGGGCCGTGGCTCGTGTAAGTCATGATTAATATTTCAGGTGTCGACCGTGCGCGAGGTTACCGGCCGTTTTGGCGAGGGCGGGGTTAAGACTGACCATTGCTGGCCCTCGAGTAAGGTTTCGTTGTCCGGTAGGCTGTTAATTATTCGCAAAGGAAATTAATGCGTTCCCGGCAATAATTTATATCGGCCGAGAAATGAATGGTTGGCACAAGGAATTATTCACGGTTCGTGTCTTGTACCACCGATTCAACGAATGCATCTCTATTGAGTTTTTAACGTTGTTTCGCGTGGTGCGAAAAAGAATCGAGGTTAGGTAAAATCTATGAGTTTTTTCGATTTTTCATTCAATCTCGTTATAACTTAAAGAGATAAATTGTTTCTTTGTATATGATAGATTTCTTATATTTTTCAATCTAATGAAATTTAAATTCTAATTCATTTTTTGTTTTTCATTATTTTAATGCATTACATTACAACTTATTGTAATTTAGATTAATAGTTCGAATTCTAGAATTTATTTAATTAAACATCGACGAAAATTATTTCACTGGAATAAAAAGCATAGCATAAATTATAAAATACGAAGAATTTAATGAATGTACATATTTAAGATCTACTTTACATCCCCGAGGAGGATGGAAGGAAGTTTTTAACTTGCTCGATTTCGAAGCGTAAAACGGCAAAATCAATCCTCGATACTTGAAATCGGAATTCTCTCGGAAGTATTCGCCTCGTTACAATGAATTTACCGAGTCCGCTGTTTAACAATGCACATCTCACCGCCGCCACGGCTGTGTTCCGCGCCAAACGATAACCCGTTGAAATACGTTACGAGCCGGCCGTTTCCGGACCTGTAATGCGCCGGGTTTAGATCTTCTAATCTGTTTGATACATTGCCCGCTCTGCGCGGCTGAGATTGTTTCATGCTCGCAAACCGGTGTTAAATCTTCTTTCCGTCGCCGCTTCCTCGAATATGTTATTACTATTTTAATTGCGCCCTGTGTCGTTGTATCTTAAGGAAAGGAAAGTCCTGTAACGGAAATTTATTTCTCGAGAATATCTTTCGTATAGGACGGTAGTATATCGTATGGTCTGAAGTTGGTCACGGTTATCGTTTATTTCTCTCAACATATTATACATTTCTGTGAACGTTGAAGTCAATGTACATTGAAAATATTATAACCCCAGATGTTTTGCAATATAATTACTATAAAAAGGTTAATGGAAAAGATCAATAGATCATTAAATAGTTAAATATGTAAACAGAAAGCTCAATGTATTATTATACGAATAATATAAACAACACGTAGATTAATGTTCTATTCCATTTTTAAAATGAAAATGATAAACAATCGACTGTGTTTCTATCACTCAAAAGCATCCTACCGTACTTTATTTATTTTCATCCCATCCCACATACGCCATAAATTATACCTCGTGTTCCTGCACCACGT